ACCCACTGCCCTACCTTAGCTCATTTGTGGCAGAGCGCGTCCTGCGCGTACAAGTACAATCCCAAAGGGGCTGAAACTAAAGAGGGAAAACGTTTATTACTGTCGCCAAATATTTCTTCAAAGACGATGTAACGCATCGGACTGCGATTGTGGTTGAGTTGAAAAACATCCACACGATTTGTCTGTTGTCACGGGGTGCCATTTCTGTAATAGTCCTGATCATTGCTCGCAGCGGAGGCCCATTTTTCGCTATAGGAAGTCCGGTGTACTTACTGCAAACCTCCAGTACATTTGCCAGCCATTTTTCTCCAACTCGGCCGCATGCGAAGTGCAAATTTTGGGGGCCAGCCTACCGGAGCTAAATGGCTGCCAGCATCAGCCAAGAGAAGACCTGCGCTGGTTCGTTTTTCTTGGGGACGCAGTGTGTTTCCAGGCTCGGCAAGGGAAGGGTCAAATGGGTTGGGCCCAAAGTCAAATGGGTTGAGCCCGAAGTAAGTCAATGCACCACAATCCTTTTTTTTTTTTTTTTTTGGACTCCGCATGGAGCTTGCTCCACATCCTAGATTTCTCAGCTTTATTGTTGCAGAGTTACGCTGCTTTTGCGGAAGTGTGTTTATGGCTCTCGCGATCCACTACAGGTCTGAGAATCGTTCAACATGCCTCTAGCTGCCCTGGCCTAGAGCCAGGGCAATCTGGCTATTTTGGCTGTTCGGCCTGTGGGACCAGGCCGTGGCCTGACCCCACAGGTCGTGTGCTCATTCAGTCCAGTCCAGTCCTGCCCGGTACCACTGTCGGTACCAGTCAGTCCAGTCCAGTCTTAACCAGTCCGCTGGGGGTATACCCCAGCTGCAGTCTGTTTTCAGTCTCATTCTTCATTTGCACAGTTTGGATTACGTGTGTGTTGAGTCCGCGTTGGAGCTGCGCTGTCCCTTCCAGCTCCATCTCCATCTCCCCTATCCTCATCCCCTTCGTCTTGATTCTGATGGACCGCCATCCCGGCGGGTCCGTCACATGTTGTCTATTTGAATTTTGAAATCTATTTGACAATTTGTACCGTCCTGTGTGCACGTGTGTGTGTGTGTGTGTGTGTGTGTGTGTGTGTGTGTGTGTGTGTGTTCAAGATAAGTCGGATAACACAACTGCAGCAGCGTGTCTGTTTTTTTTTTTGTTTTTTTTTTTTAATCCGGACATCTGGACTTGCTCTCCATAACCGGACTGTATGGGTCCGTATGTCCGGTTGTCCGGATCGGTGTCCGAATTACCAGACGTCTGGATTAATCCAGATGCGGGTCCAGTGCAACCATGGTTAAAACTTAAAATTTAAAACTAATGTTTGGGGTTCACAAGCACAGCAACTGAAAAATGGACAAAATCCAAACCTCAGCTGCACAAAAATTATTGGAAGGCTAGCATAGTGCGAGGATTGAGCCCTCACAAGGTCCTTGTCGAGCACACAGACGTTTTGCGATCAGGCCCCAGCAAGCCTCATGCCCGTCCTAAGTGAAGGCGGGCCTGCATAATCATGTGAGGTCTGTTTTTGCCATTTTTTGTATGTGGGGTATCAGACAGTTGCAGCACCCCAGTTGGTTACAGAGCAACATGAGCCTTCCCTGGCTCCATCCAGAAGCAGAAGTTGTGTCGTACAGTTGAGCCCAGGGCTCATTCGGTTGAGGCCCTGGGCACACGCATTCAGAGGCCGACAAGCCACGCAGCGGGCATGGACCAATGAGAAAGCAGCTCCTTCATCACACACATGCCATGAGCCAATGGGATTGCAACAAACACTTGGAGCCTCGTGGGCTACCTGGACATGCCTAACTTCACAGGGCCCAGGCCAGTATCTGAAACTGGGCCTGGGCGCAGATACTGGGGCCAGACTGGAAGCTACTGGAAACTCGGATGTCAGGCCCAAGCAGCCAGACACAGGGCTGCACTTTCCATATAGGAAAGTGCCCTGCCCAGGCACATTCATTCTGGCCTGCTCAGGCATTGCGGCCACGCTGCTGCATTGTCACGTGAGCGCTGGCTTTAGCGCTGGCAGGCCAGGGTGCACGCGGGCGCTTGGAGGTGAGAGGGAGCTGCGGTGGCAGCTGGCACACGGCGGCCATAGCCGGGATGCTGTGCGCATGCATGGTGATGGCGATGGTGGTCTTCGGGTAGGAGGCTCATTCAGAGGGAAGTCAGGGGTGATGAGGAGAAGTGTGAGACACGTACCTGGTGTATGCTGGCGGTCTGCAGTGGTGATGGCGTCACGTACATTGGTCTTCAACTTCGATGTGTTCCTTTTGAATGAACGTAGATAGGATAGATAGGTTGAGTAGAGCAGGCTGGGCGCTGGGCACCAGTCAGTAGGAGCGACATTGGATACTATATTGGTGAGACCAGAGAGCTCGGCATTGACATTTTTTGAGTTCATTGTATTGCTCTTATGTGGATGGTATCTTGGTGTATTGTGCTCTCTGCTTGGTACATGACTATCTGGATTACTTCATGATTTTGC